CGTTATAACATGTGCTGTTGCCTTTAGTGGTACAGGGCAATCAAAATACTATAGAGCTTGTAAAGTATGTTGCCGTTACTTGAAGATGGCAAACTTCCACTGCTTTCATTTAAATTTACAGTATTGCCCAAAGCAGTATTGTATGGAAGGTCACACTAAAGTGAATGCCTGTGCTTATTTTAGATTTTTTTTCACTATAAAACATTGCATGAGTCGGCACAAATGTAAAAAAAAAAAATAAAATCACAAATCAATTAGTGAACAGCATTAAAGAAAATACCACACTTAACTTATGGATCATTACTGCACTGTAGTTATAGATAAATCAGAAGTTAAATCAGAAGTCAAAAAATAAGAATTTACTTTACTGTAAAATCTGTTAAGGATACCTCTACTAAATAATAATTTGATAGTGTTCTCTATGGAAATCCGATAGGTAGAAATATCGATTTAATCCTCAAAAGCCATTTCTAAAGCTCAGGAAAGCTACACTTAAAAGTCTGATCTGCTTCATATTCCGCTTCACTGCCTCCAGCAATTGTTGCAGAGGAAATGTTGCAGCATTAGTCAGACAGCTATACCGCATACGTGTCTGTCAGGCAGTGATATTCATTTTACTTTGTATAATTCCATTCTTTACTTGACTAAAAAGGTATGGTTCAGTTAAAGAAAAGACCTGACAAGCTGCTGACTGAGTAAATACACAGAGCAGTTCATTTGCCAATTATAAAACAAGAAATTTAACACTTTGCCTCGGATGAACTGTAGGTTTAAATGACACAGAACTGAGCAATAAAGAGAAACTCAGCACTCTAAGCGTTTAACCTTTTCCTCCCAGTGTAATGGCTGTTGCTCTTGAATAACCCAGAGTCTACCCATGTATGAGTGCCCTATGACAAGTATCCTCCTGTTAAACTGGTGGACCATTGCCTCACATTGCCACGGATTAGGAAAAGTAACTTTCAACCTCATCCTGCTGCTCTATCGAATAGATTGGACCGTGAAGCGAGAGACTCGTACACCACCAGCACCACCTCTCTCATCGGCAGTTGCGAGATGGAATAAATCCTTTTTTTCTAATGAAGAAGGAGAGGCATCGACCACAGCCCCTGTACTTAATTAAAAGGGATTTTTCACAGACTTCATTAGGAGGTGAGGAGCAGCCTGGCAGATTAATGCACTGTGTCCACTTTCCACAGACACCAGGAACAGATGAGATCCTCTTATTTCTCCCTCACATTCACACACATAAAAGAGACGCTTGCTCCTCACCACACCCAGTCACTCTGTGTGTAACACAAGGACACACTCTGTGTTCAGACTCAGGCAGCTGGTGAACATACTGTAATTAACCGTGGCCTAGACCAGCAGCCAGTCTTGGGCAGCATTTAGGATTCCATTAAAAGCCATCATTTGTGGTTGGGTAGAATTTTAATGGACTTTACAGCACTTTGACAGGTCAGGTTCCCGACTTAGACAATATGCATTTCAAAACAGTCAACCAATCGTCTTTTCCGACTTCTTCGTCAAGTGGAGCAACTTGCCAGAACAGTTTATGAAAAAACAAATGGCATTTAGATTTCTTTGTCACATTAAAAAGGTTAAATCCCAGATTGCAGTGTTTTTAAAAGTTAAAATGACATGTAAAAGAAAGGCATGTTTTCAAATGGCATAAAGCCTTTTGTTTGCAATGAATGCTAGTTAAGAATTGAATAAGAATCAAAGAGACCTGGCACCTCATTAAGAGTGATTTCTTTTTAATATGCTTTGTTATCTGGGAGCATACTACATTTGAGAGCTGAATTTCAACCAACTGGTTATCAACTGTTGTTTTATTAGCCTGACATGCCTTCTAGCCATCAGCATGTGGTCATGCATTCATGCATGCAGTCAATAGCTGTCACATGCAATGCTTTACATAACATGCTGAACTTTCACTGATTCAAGGAGACTGCAGCAACATTAACTGTTATCTTGCCAATATGTCAAGTTTAACTGATTTTAGGGACAGAGCAAGAAGAGTGTAGCGGTGAAGTCAGGACCGCTATAATAAAAATAGATTGTTATTTCCATCTGCATAATTTATATTTGGCAGTATGGCCCTCTCCTCCTTCTATGTGCATAAATGGAAAGCAAAAGGTGGGGAGAGCAGCAGCAAGACCTGGCACAGAACGGAGCAAGCAAGTGTCAGAGACAATCCTGCAGTACCTGGAGTTGAGGTAGGTTGTAAAGTGGCTTGCGTGTTCTCCAATCATTTCAAAATAAAGATAACTAAATAAAAACTAATCCATAAGTAAGAGACAAACTATCATGAGGTCATCGACAAAAAAAATGAAATGAAAATATTCTGGAGAAATGAGATCCAATCAGAACTAATTAAGTTGTGTTAGAAAGGCAGGCCGGGTTAATTCCCCCAGGCGCGATTTGTAAACTGTACAACTAGCTCCCATGCTCAAAGTTTCTCACGAAAACAACAAAATATTAACACTGGGGAGGAAGAGAAGTCATTTGGACACTTTGCGTTTGATGTCAAGGAAAATAAGTCTTCCTGTAAACCCTGTGGAACAACACTCACAGGTCAAAGCAGAACAAACTTAAACACTTTATATTTTAAATCAACTTCATAATCAATGATCTTATGATCTCTGGTAAACTAAAAGAATTCAGATGCCTAAAAAGGCATTTTAACAAAAGGCTATGATTGAAACTGAATCAAAATTTGCTGACAAAATTAACACTGGTGGTTTGCAGGTGTACATTAATGCAATGAGCTAGCACTGTCATCAGCTGATTTGTCAGGAGTCAGTTAAGAACACCTTTGTTTGTTTTAACTATGCTCAGTACATTAAAAAAAAAAAAAAAAAAAAGAAGGCAAATCAGTTTAGTTTTGTGCCAAGCTTTACCCACATGTGAAGAAAGGCTTATACAGCTTGTGAAATGCTATAATAATTACATTGTGTTAACTGCTGACACTACAAATAAAATTCACATTAAACAGAGCGAGGCTCAGAGCGGGGTTTAAGTTGTGCTGTTGTGCTGATTGTAGCATGTCTGGGAAATGCAGAGACTACGACGATCAAAGAAAAGCCGTGGTTCATTTTATCTTACTGAAATAGAAGTCCCTCCCACAACACTGTGTTACAAGGGGACCCAAAAGGTTGGCTGGGGGAGCAGGGTGCAATTCTGCTCATGAAGTAGGAACTACTTACAAATATCTGTGCGTGTGTGTGTATATTATAATTTTGTTTAAGTTTTTTTTTTTTTTTTTTTTCCCCCCACCCCCACCGCCCTCCTTGCAGTAAAACATTTAACTTTACCCTCTTCCTGCCTTTTTTGTTCTCTCAATCTCTTGCCGCCTCCGTCTGGTAAGAGGCTGCTCCGGAATCCATCTCATATTAATTACTTTCTCTTTCCCACATGCCCTGTAACCAATCTGGGAAGCTGACGATGAATAACTTTGCATTCTAAATCTGCTTTGAATACAGAATTCAAAATTCTGTTTACACCGCTCTTGGTCAACTTGTCTCCTTAAGGCCTGAGCAGAAATTCTCATCAAGCTTTCAGCAACAGGATGAACTGAATTAAACACAAAATATATGAAACTTGGAGATGTAGAGAAGACGGTTCTTAAATTAAAAACCACATGCTAGATATAGAGAACAGGTAATTTCCAACCCTTTTTCCTCATATGAAAACGTGTTGATGCCATACTGCATCTGCATTCAACCTTATAGCTAAAGCTTTTTCCCCCCTCCCTTAGGTGCTTTTGCTGAATTTTAAAATGACCATCTTCCATTTGCACTTGAGGTGCATCTCTGTACTGATCCTAGTACAGACTCCACCTCTAATATCTGCAGCATTCCATGCAGGAATCCCACTTATCATTTTGCACCCAGGCAGAATGCAAATGCACAAGAAGACAAATGTCAAATCCATAAAGTCAATCATCAAACACTTAGAGTTTCGCCAACACAAATGTGCCTACCGGTCACCAGTGCACTGGCCTTTTCACCTAGGTGTCACAACGTATCATGCATTTTAACCAATGTGTCTACATGAATGAGCACAGCTGTTTAAAATAAAAAAGAAAAAAAAAAAAGAAAAGAAAAAAGAAAGATGGGTGATGTTGCCTTTGAGCATAAAGTTATCACTGCTCGAATATGCAAACAGATTTATACCATAGTAACTCTAATTAACATGCTGGACAGACAGAAATGAAAGTACCATATGTCAATAATCAAGACCTCTTAATTAGGATCCGTGACAGAAGCTAATGAGTTCCAATACATGCCCAGGAATAAAAGGGCTGTCAAACCACTAAATGTCACCTACTAACCACCATCTGAATAGAATGTTAATTATTCACCGTACACATATAGCTGACATTCATGTGTATGGTATTTAAATCCTTACACAATGTCCTCATAAAAGCAAAGTAAACCTCTTACTTTGCTGCTGCATTACTAATGGCTGACACACACACATATTCAGACATTATTCAAAATCTGAAACAACAAAATAGCTTAACGCCATGAAAAACCAGTAAAAGGAACGCATTAATAGCATGTATAATGACAGAGACAAGAGGTTACGCCATACTTTTCATGACTGGCACACTTCACGGTTGAATGCATAATGCAAGACGCTTCTTGGCTGAGCACAAGGAGACCCAAACAAACGACATTTGGTGTTTTTTGGGAGGTCGGACATAAACTCAGCAGAGGAACAGAGTTAAGTTTCATTTTCGGCTGGCATTGCTGCCATTTTTTGTTTCACCTTGGAGTCTTTCGAAGCTGCTGCCACCCCATTTTTGCCTCAGAAAAGTCATATTTGTTGAGGGAGAAGACATATCTGTTCTGTTTCTCTTTGTAAGGCTCCCCAAACACTGTTGCAACCCAACTTTACAACCATTATACGAGCTCCCCTTTTGGATGCCACTTACATCCAAATAGATGTAAAAATTTTATTTAAATGCCAGACTGAGTCTACTCCCTGTGAAGCAGTTATTCACAAGAGTTGCAGTGACACCAGCTGGCAGGATCTCCTCACTGCAAGCAGTAAAACCTACTAAAACTGCTTTGGGGAGCTTGCTGCGTTGCTGATTAATAGTGTTAAAAACCTTTTCTATACTCTGTGACATCCTGTTCTAATCACATATTTTTCTGCTCCAAACTTTAAGTGGAATCATTTTTATATCTTAACATAATTTATTATAACATAAATAATTCCAAAGTGGGACATAGAAAATTAGGTAAGCAGCAAGGGCGCTTAACATTAGAATAAAATGTGAAGCAGTTTAAGAGTAAAGTGTTTATCCCAACTCTGTGCAAAAGAAAAGCAGGTACAGGGGTTTGGGCTGTCTGTACATCTGATTAAATGGAAGAACTACAACAAACCCATTCAATGGAACAATGCAGGGCAACAAGTACTTCTCTCCGGTCTTATTATCCTCTAGCTCATATCCAAGAATCAAATATAACCCGCTGGCATTTGTGAGTCAAACAAACCAATGGTAAATTGGCCCCGAGAATTCTCAAGCAGACGTTCATATTTAAATGCATGAATGAATCATTTTTGTACCTGCAGAATATTCAGTGTCTCCCTCCATGTTCTGCTTCTGTTCTTGGTCAATGCTACTGCCTGGAGGTTTATTATTTACAAAAAGGAACTTCAAAATGCCTTTCATTTCTATTCTGCAGAGGATGACTCACCTTTGTCTCATTCAGCTCCTCCTTTACATCCACAGAGGATAATGGCACCTCATGCCCAACCTAAAGCAACAGCAAGAAAACAATACAACCTACAATATAAGCTTTGAACAAGAAACACTATAAAATGTTTATGACTCCTGTGAATGTGAGCATATGTAGGACCTGAGTGGCTTCTTTTAGTAGTCGATTGAGTTTGGTAACCTCTGACTGCAGTTCCCTCATCACCTTCATACTGCCATTATCGTTCACTGTGGGAGAGTTCACTATGTTTTTAGCTTGACTGGCAAAACGCAAAGTGTTCAGGGTCTCCATGTAGTTCACATCAGCAGGAGAAATGGCTGCCATGGGGGGGG